CCTGGAAAAGAGGAGACTCCGAGGGGATCTGTCGGCGACATACAGCTTTGTGAGCGGGTGTCACACAGAGGTGGGTAGAGATGTGCTCTTCCCTGTGGAGGGTGGGACATGTTCCAGTGGAGCAGAGCTCAGGGAACCAAGATTCAATTTGGATGCCAGGAAGTACTTCCTGGTGGTTAGGACTACAAGAGTATGGAATGGGCTTCCAAGGGAGGTGGTTAAGCCCCATCGGTGAGGGTGTTCAAGGATAGGCTGAACGTGCACATGGTGGGCATGTCGTGAATGGCGCCAGCTGGAGCTGGGGGTCAGACTAGATGTCTAGGGAGGCCCCTTCTGATTAGTTCTGCTTCTGTTTGAACAAAGGGACTCGTGTCTTCACACAGCAGGCATTTCAGCAAAAATATATAGCCTCCTCCAACAGAATCCCAGCCTCTAACAGCCCCTTCGGCAGACTGCTTCTAGGGCTGGCCATTAACCTTCTACACTGTTGGCTGAAGCACTGCGAGTTCCAGGCCCTGGGATTCCCCTGCACAAACGGCAGCTTTTCCCTTTCCCGAGATGCAGGAGGAGGGTTGCTCCTGCTGGAAAACCCCTTTTCTTTGGTGCATCAAGATACCTTAGCGCTCAAGAATCGGGCCTGCCAAGCCCAGATGCCCACCCCTCCTTTCTCCCACCTCAACCTGCCTGCTCACTGATGCCCTCAGATGGGAAATTCTGGCGGCTCTCCATGGAATCTGCCTGAGCAGAGCCTTCAGGGTGGTGGCCCCCTTCCTGAGAAATTCCCTGTACCTGGAGACCAGGCAAGCACCAACACCACCGGTTTCAGCAACTGCTGGAGACATCTTTATTTCAGGAGTCTTTCCTCAAATGACCAGCCACATTTTTAAATTGCTTTTAAAAAGTCTAATGTGGTGTTTATTCCTGTTATCTTTTACTGTTCACAACTCTGAAAGCTGCTCAGATGTGGAGCAGTTTACAAATATTGTAAATGAATAAATTAAGTATCATACTTCATAATGAGGTTGGTTTCCCCCATCTGCTTGATTTGGCAGGGGAAGTGTCACCAAAGGACATGAAAGCCTTCCCTGTGCTTTTAAGAGCTACAGAACAGGCGTCAAGGGACAAAAGAACTCAGTTCAGACAACATGACAACCTACACTCGGGGTGGAGTAGCATGTGGGTTGTCATGGGACCATGGGTTGTCATGTCATCTGGACCCAGCCACAGTATGAAACCCCAGTGAACCCAGCGAATAGTTCGGTTCATGGGTTGTTCTTGGTTCGCAAGCCATGGTTTGTTGGCACAGCTGGGTTCAGACAACCCATTTCAACAAGAACCCACCCCCAACTTATACTCCGTCCGTGAGGGTGGGTTCTCATGTGGTTTTGACTCTGTAACCAGCTGGAAAAGCACACCCCGTGTCTTTAAGCTCTTCCAGTTAGGGGATCCTTGCCTTGGTCTGCTCCAGGTAAACCGCTGGCAGGACCTTGCAGATCTCCTCCCCGGCTTGGTCAGCGCATAGCAGCAGCTCTGCTGGGCCCACTACCTCGCCTGAAGAAGAAACCCCCACTTTGGGTTAGTTATCCGGAGAGAGGCTGCCTCTCCCTTACCCAGCACTACTCGCAGCCTTCCCTCTCCATGGAAATGGGCCTCGTCCCTTTACAAGAGATCCCAGGTAGCAGGCACTGCCAGCACACCTGGAATCACAGACCCATGGAACAGAAGAGCTGGAAGGGGCCACGAAGGCCAGTGAGTCCAGCCCCCTGCTGTTGCAGGACGCCGAGTTATACCTGGTGGCAGCAAGTTCCATGAAGCTATGGTGCCAGGAAAGAGACGGCATGGGAGAAGAAGACCAACCTAGAAGGCCCCATGTTTGCTCCGGGCAGCAAACCTCTCCCCGAGAGGCCGCCTGGACAAGGGGCCCCATTCCCCCACTCTCCTTCCAGCCGCCTCTAACCTGCGGCCCAGCAGATGCCTGGACTGCAACCTGCCCCCACCCCCAATAATCCACCCCCAACAGAACACAGAGAACACCAAGTGGGCAAACAGGCCTGTGTTTAATGGGGGATCCACGGCACCAACGCAGCTGAGCAGGGGCTCCGGGCACTGGAAGGGCTGCAGAATCCAACAAATCCACCCATGGCAGAGCACAGACTGCGGTATCACAAACAGCAATGCACAACATTGTGTAAAATGGCAGAGGGAGCCAGAACAAGGGGCAGAGGGAAGCTTAATAAATATGCAACTTTTAAAAATACACAGAAATGCACCAACCACCCAAATATTTCCTGGGAAATAGATGGTGGGTGACCCAAACTTCCTTTTTGCTCCCCCACCCCCAATAATCTGCTGCCCAGCTAGTTTAACTGGAAGAATGATTTGCCGAGTTCCTCTTCCTTGGATGCTGGAGGGAAAACACACCCGGCTCAGATTTTTCCAGTACAGAGAGCAGCAGCAGGAACCCGAATCCAAGCAAGAGTTTGCCAGCTGAGGGTTGCCCAGGAGCCAGAAAAGGGGGCGTGTGCGGGGGAGAGTCTTCCCTTTGCCACCCAGGCAAAGCCAGGGGGTCAGCGAAGAGGCCTGCCTCCCGGCACAAGGGGGACGTCCCTGCCGGATGTCTGAGCACAGAATTAACGGGGCAGCATCCCCCTTCCCGACCCTGCCAACAGGTGTGGCACAAAGAGCTTCTCCAAAGATGCCAGGCACGGCAGAGGCTGCCGTCACGAAGCCCTCCCCAAGGGGCTACGATCTGGACAGTCTGTTCCAGGGTCGTCCGCGCCTTCTCTGCCCTCTCCAGGCCGTGGCCCAGCAAATGTGTCAGCGGAGGGTCCTACTGTCCCCAGGGCCAGGGGATGCTGGGAGCCGCGCAACACGTCTGTCTGGCCGCAGGCTGGAAAAGGCTGCTCTGTGCTCCCCCATGAGCTGCAGCCGGGGCCTGCCTGTCCTCCTTCCCACCCCATTCTCTGCCTGCTCCCTCCGGGCCTCTAACCCAACCCCTTCCACCTCCGTGAGTCCCCCACTCCTCGCACCACTGGCTCTCGGGCAGCCAAGGGCCCTCTTCATTCCTAGCGCAGAATTCCGTATTTCCGGGCATCTCCCAGAGACATCAGCCTTCTTCTCTCCTTCCCAACGTCCTGGTTCTGTCCTCCTCCCTCCCCCGCTTCTCTGCTGGGCTCAGTGGAGACCCGAGTGCCAAGCGCCAGGGTGCAGCTCCATGCAGATCTCGGGGTCTGGCGCTCAGCTGACTGGGCCGAAGCAGGGAATGCCCACGGCAGGCGGCCCACTGCAGCTGGTCCCCTGCGGGCCGCTGGAGAGCAAGGTCCCCACTGGCGGGCCCCACGGAGCCCCTCGCTGAGCGGGGAAGGGTCCGTGTAGAAGTGCAGGAGACCCTGGGCACCGCCCCTGGCCGTGCCGGCTGCACCCCACAGCGGGCAGGGCGACAAGGGTGGCAGGCCTCGCCCAGGCCCAGAGATTCCCTCGAGGCCACCCAGACGGGCAGCCATGGCTCCCTCACTCTCAGACAGGCCTGATGTGTGCGGTGGGGCCGGCGGTGAGGCGGCTGCTGCACTCCAGCAGCCCAGCCTGCAGGCTAGGGTGCGGCCGCACTTATGTGCAGCTCCGGGCGCATGACCGGGAGGGTGCCAGGAGAACTTGCAGCAGATTGTGCCCAGGACACCCCTGCGAGCCTGCAGGGGCCCTGGAAGGCAAAGCACCCAGTGGCAGCCTTTGCGACAGCCGGCCCAGGATGCCAGGCGAGAGGACCCTCCGGAGGAGCCCCGTGCTGCCTGCCCACTGGTCGCCCGCAGAGTCCAGGGCAGCGCTGGCGAGTCCTGCGTGGTGGGGGCGCTGGGCTGGGTGCCCTCTAGGAGCCGCGGCCGGCAGCCTGTCTTCTCTGCTGCCTTGCCGCCTCTTGCTGACTAACCACGCACGTCCACGCGCGCATACGTGCATGCACACACTCCCGTGGCCCACGGGGCAGGGCATGCCTGCCAGTCCGTGCTTGGCGCAGGTGTGGTGCATGTGGGGCAGTAGGCCCCATGCTGGTGCCCGCCCCGTGGCCTGGGCATGCCGCCACGTGATGGGAAGACGCGGGCTCCTGCTGCTAGAAGCGGCTCTCCGTGTCTCCGGCGCGTCACTCCGCTCCCGCTGGTCTCATACCTCCCTGCGACAGACAGACAGACAGACAGACAGACTGGTCACTTGGTGCTTGCCCTCCCTTCCCGGAAGCCCCTAAAATGGGGGGGGGGTGCAGAGAGTGAACACAGGGCTGCGGCAGCCTCGTTTCCGGTGCCTCAGGGAGGGGAAAGGTACTCTGCAGACATGTGGGCTCCGAACCAAAGTGTCGCCAGCACGCCCAGGGCGAGGGAGGCAGCGGGGCAGCCAGGTGCACCGGTCTGCTCCCAGACATCCCTCCGGGCCTCCCCGAAAGTGGGGCATGCTGCGGAATCAGCTCCTGCTGGTGCTGACAACTGCTCAGTCTTGCAGCCACTCTCCCAGGGAGCTGCCCTGTCCTTTGCTTGCCCAGAAGCATTTCTGGAATGGCCAGATGTGCCCACGGCCCCAAAAGGCTCCCCCCCCACCTAATGTAGCCTTGCACTGCACCTTCCGAAGTGAAGGCCTGTGGGGATGGCGACTGCATTCTGAATTAGAAAAAGTGGCATGGAAAATAGGCCTGCTAGGCTGGGCCTGGGCAGGCACAAACACTTCTTCCAGAGAAGGCAACTCATGAAGCATCGGGGACAAACAGCAGCCAGCCCAAGGACGGGAGAACATGGGGAGGGTCAGCTGCAGCCTCAAAACACAGGCCACACTTTGGAACCAACGTTCAGACCGCCCTGGAGGAAACTCCGAGGAGATGCGATGCAAAGCGGAAGTGGAGCATGCGGGGGCCAGGAGGGGTGCCTGCAGGGGCACCGGGGTCCGTGGGCCCCATCCCGATGACCCGAGCTCCAGGGCGCGGTGCCCCCCACCCGCTGCGGCCACTGTTCCCCCAGCAGCACTCACGAGGCCGTCAGCGTGGAGTTCAGCAGCAACGTGGTGCGGATGCGGTAGAGCTGGGCCAGCGTCAGCTTACGGTGCTGGACCGCGTGTGGGTCGGAAGTGGAGCATCGGGTAGCGGGGGGCTCCTCCCCGTGGCACTCCCCAAGCAGCCAGCAGGGGGGGCGGGATCCTTCCAGAGGGGTGGAGGCGCAGCCCCCAGGCTCCTCAGCCTCCGACAGCTCCGAAGTGCTGCCGCCGCCACACAGGCCCGCCCTGCCGGCCCCTTGGCCCCGGGTGCCCTCCGTCCATGGGGGGCCCGGCGGGGGGATCACCGGGCAGAGTTCGGAGAGGCTCTTGCTCTGGCTCAGTGGGGCCTGCCGGGAGGCTGGGAGCAGCCGCACGAGGCTGGCCTCCGACTCGGACTTCCGCACTGGGCCCTTCGTGGCCAGCAGCTGCACGGGGACCTGCCGGCGCAGCTTGGGAGAGCTTGCCCGCTGAGAGGGCCCCACGGGGCCCTCCTCCTCCTCCTCCTCCTGCTCCACCGCCGCCACCCATTGCTGCTGCCCTGCGAGCTCCTCAAGGGAGGAGGGCGAAAGCGTCCCGTAGGCGCTGTCAATGGAGGCCGAGCGGCACGAGCCCGTTTGCGGAGCCAGGCCGTGCTCGGGGCCGGTGAGGGGAGGCCCCCCGGACTCCATGGTGGGCGGGCTGGCGGATGCCACGGTGCTGATGGACGCCTTGTCCGCAGGCGAGCCGAAGGGGCCGGCCTCCACGCCAGGTGACGGAGGCTCCTCGCCAGCTGCCGCCACCACGACGGAGATGGTCTCAGTGGAGCCGTCGGAAAGGCTGCAAAGCAAAGTGCCCGAGGTCAGGCGATGCCACGCTGCCCTCTGGCTCTCGTAAGCGCCCAGTCCTCACCTTCAACTCCTGGGAAAGGCGTCCCACCAACGTAGCGGGCAGGAGACCAGGCCTGCCACACCACCAGGGCCTAAGCCATGGGTCCTCAAACTCCGGCCCGCGGGCCGAATCCGTCCTGCCATGCCCATTTACCTGGCCCGCATCGGAGGTCTGGACGCCCCACGCCCGCTGCCCACCTCGGCATGCGTGCAGTGAGGTGACTGCTCGCTTGCTTGCTTGGAGATCATTTTGGACTCTCCCGGAGATATCCGAGCGAGCGAGCGAGCCGCCACCTCACCAGCCTGCACCCGCCACCACCACCTTTCAACTGGCCCCCTGTCGAAAAAGTTTGAGGACCCCTGGCCTAGATTCAGGTTACCCCCCGGAACTGCTTCTCCAACAGGATGCTCTCCCCTCATGCTCTGCACTCAGATGATGCGCCGAGGCCCCAATCCGAGGATCCCCCCGCATACCCCACTCCAGCCCCAAAAGCAAATGGAAGCACGTTTCCCTTGTTCACCCAGAGCCGAGGTGGCGAGGACACCAGGGACCCCTGTGGGGGCGAGCGATGGGGGCCTCGCAAAGCCCACCGGGTCTGAAGAGCCATGCGCGGCTGCTTCACCACCCAGGCTCTTGAGAAGGGCTGGGGCTGGGGCTGGGGGACGGGCAGGGGCTGGGGCTGGGGCAGGGGCGACGGGCTGGGGGACGGGCAGGGGCTGGGGCGACGGGCTGGGGGACGGGCAGGGGC